GTCAGTTCAAATGGACATAACTGGAAATTATTCTTGGGTGAAACATGTTTGCAGCCTTGAGGTGCTAGGGGTGTGTGTGTGTGTGTGTGTGTGTTCCTGTGTTACCATCATCTCTTTGCTGCCTGATTGCAGTAAATCCCGAAGTGGCCTCCCTCCTTCTGACCTTGCCCCACTTCTTCAGTCTATTTTCAGCAGCCAGAGTTCTTTTAAAACATAAGTCATCTTACCATCTTACACCAGTGAGAATGGCACATATTAAAAAAACTAGCAACAACAAATGTTGGCGAGGGTGTGGAGAAAAAGGAACTCTCCTGCACTGCTGGTGGGAGTGCAAACTGGTCCCACCACTATGGAGAGCTGTGTGGAGATTTCTGGACCTACTAAACATAGAGCTTCCATATGATCCAGCAATTCCACTCCTAGGTATTTACCCAAAGGACACAGAAACATCCATTCCAAAGAGCACCTGCACCCCTATGTTTATAGCAGCACTGTTTACAATAGCTAAGCTTTGGAAACAGCCCAAATGCCCCAAAATAGATGACTGGATCAAGAAGATGTGGTACATAGACACCATGGAATATTACTCAGCATTCAAAAAAGGTAAACACATGCAATTTGCAGCAACATGGATGGCGCTGGAAGGGATCATGCTCAGCAAAATAAGCCAGAAAGAAAAAGAAAAATACCGGATGGTCTCACTCATAGCAGGAATCTAGAAAACTTAAATAAGGGACCAGGAAAATGAATAACTATAAGAAAGTGAAAATCAAAATCAACAAAAAATTATGAACCAGAGACACTCTTTGGGGGGTGGGGGGTGGGAGGGGAGGGATTGGGGTCAAAATGGGGGGGTTGCAATTGTATGGGGAATATAAAAATAAAATCTATTATTTAAAAAAAAAAAAACAAAAAACATAAGTCATCTCATGTTATTCCTCTGACCAAAATGTTCACCTCATGCCGAGCAAAAGTTGAGTCCCTGTGGCCACCTAGGAGGCCTGGGTGGTCATTCACAGCTGCCTTCCTGGCCTCCTCTCCCCCTAACTCTCCATTGCTCATGCCACTCCAGCCACATGGACCTCCCTGGCATTCCTCAGGGCCTTTGCACTTGCTCTTTCTTCCTCTTGGAACATTCTTCCCAAGTTAGACTCATAGTTTGCTTCCTAATTTTCTTCAAACATCACCTTATGAGTGAGGCCTTCTTTAACTCTCCAACATAAAATGAGCTCCCACACCCCAGCACTCTTTTACCTCCTTACCTTGTTTTTTTTTTTTTAAAGATTTATTTATTTATTTATACAAGCACTGGGTACAGTCAGAAGCGCGGGAGGGTGACAGAATTCACCAGAGCCAGAGCAGGGAGCAGAACAGGCAGAGTGATGAAATACACTGCTGAGGGGAGCAGCGGGTGGCAGGAGAGGTCTGCGCGCCATGTGGGACCCTCGCCTGGTGGCCGGGGATTGAACTGGTGCTGCAGAGGCTGTGGGCAGCTTCGCAGCCCAGCGCTCAACTGCTGCACCACCAGGGGAGACCCCTTTACCTTGTTTTTTTTTTTAAGATTTATTTTATTTTTATGCATACAAGAGCTGGGGTACAGGCCAGAGGTATGGGGGAGAGGGGAAGAGGATTCACCAGAGACAGAGTGGGGAGCAGAACAGACAGACTGACTGAAATACACTGCTGAGGGGAGCAGCGGGCGAGTGAGGAGAGGTCTGCTGCGCCATGTGGGTTGCTCCTTGGCTGGGGATCAAACCCATGTTGCAGTGCTGCAGTTAGCTTCATAGGTTGCATCTTAACCCCTTGCACCACCTTACCTTGTTTTTTTGGGGGCCATCAGACATACTGCGTTCTTCCTTGTTTATTCATTTATTTTCTATTCCTGCCACTAGAATGTAAGCTCCCAAGGGCAAGAAATTTACCTCCTTGTTCACTGCTCTATCCCCAGAGCCTGGCACAGAACAGTGTCTGGCACATAGTAGGGGCTTAATAGGTGCTGCTGAGTGAGGATTGGGTCCCTCCTGCTGCATGGCAACTGGGTGTCTATAGGATTCTGGGCATGTGGCCTTGGGGGGGCAGGCAGGGGCCCAGTGTGGCCTGGTGCTTGCTATACCAAAGAGAGGCCTGTGGCTGGGGGGGCGGGGGAAGGTGGTGGCTGAGCCTCTGGGGTGGGTGGTATGAGCACCCTACCTTGATGAGCGACCCTGGAGTTAGGGTCCAAGTCCATGGCTTCCCTGACCCTTCGTGGCCTTTCTAGATACTCTCAGAATGGGGATCAAGGGAACCCCAGTGGTTCTGTGCTCCCTATCCTTTGAGGACAAGTTGGAGATGGGTGTTGCTTCCAAGTCCATAAATAACATTTTGGAAGTTTCTCCCCTTACAGACGACAACCTCTCACCCCCAGACATGTCTCATAGTGAATGAGTCATGGATCAATGATGGCATCAGGGAAGGTGTATGGGGGGGTAGCTGAGCCCATTGATTGAGGTCTGAGACATCGTCCTCACTAATTAACAAATTAATAACCTCTTCAATAAGGAGGTGGTGATTAATGAACCAATCAGTTTGCCCTGTAACTGGGGAGTGGAATCGGAGGGTGGGTGTGATGAATAATAAGGGCTTATAGGGTGTGGGCTGCTGGCTCCTGGTCCACACTGGGGTCCTCTTTTCTTCCCTTTACTTTCACTCTAAAGGGAAGTGGGGACACAGCTTCTTCAGAGGCTGTGCCCTAATCGGAGTCTCCCCATGCCTGCTAGTTTCTCCTTCCTCCCATCTGTCCTAGGACCCCCTAATCCCATCCCCCAACATATGTGGGGCTTCTGGGGATGCCACAGATTCCCCATGGGCATCTCCCGACTTGGGCCATATCTTTTTTTTTTTAAAAAGATTGATTGATTGATTGATTTATACAAGCACTGGGTACAGTCAGAAGCGCGGGAGGGTGAGAGGATTCACCAGAGCCAGAGCAGGGAGCAGAACAGGTAGACTAAGGAAGTACACTGCTGAGGGGAGCAGCGGGGGGCACGGCAGGAGAGGTCTGTGCATTGGGCCATATCTTTACACCTGGGGTCAGTGCACCAGAGCCCCGTGTCACCCCCAGCCCCTCTTGGCAGCCTCACGGTGTCTGGAGGAGAAGCTTCTTTCACATTCACTGTCTCCTCTCTGCACTGGGCGCAGGCTCTCTCTGTCTGTGTTCTGGGAACTCCTCGGACTGGGACTCTGCAAGGAGAGTGAGCGCTTCCCTCAGGCCATGCTCCCAGTGACACAGCTGTGTGCCCGCAGCAGAGGGGACCCCCAGGGACAGCAACTGGTCTCCCCTCTGACTGGGTTTCTAGAGAACAGCCCACCTGCTCCTTGCCCTTCAGACAAGAGCTTCCCAAGAAGAGCAATTTTTCTTCTTCCTCTGAGGGTAACATCCATGTGCCCTTGTGCTATGTCCTCTCCACCTCCATGCTCAGCAGAGCACCCTCTTGGGATGTGTGGGGCCCGTGGGCCCAACTCATTGATGTTGATAAGGAGCCATTTCCGGAGAGTGCAAGTGATTGAACCCATAAAAAGGTGATTGAAGGAGCCCTGGACTCTCCACTTCAGAGAACTCTAAAAATAACACCCACGGCCATCTGTCCTGGAGGGTGGAGGGGCTGGCCCAGAACCAGGGGCCTGGACAGGATGGCCCCTCCTGCCCTCAGGGCTGATGCGATGCCTGGAAGCACTGGAGGCGCTGGGCAGGCCGGGAAAGGGAGCTGGAAATGACTTTTTTTTTTAACATGATTTTTTTTGTGTGTTTTTTTAAAGTATTGTAATTTCTTTTTTTTTTTTTTTAAAGATTTATTTATTGATACAAGCACCAGGTACAGTCAGAAGCGCGGGAGGGTGAGAGAATTCACCAGAGTCAGAGCAGAGAGCAGAGCAGGCAGACTGAGGAGGTACACTGCTGAGGGGAGCAGCGGGCTGCAAGAGAGGTCTGCGCGCCATGTGGGACCCTTACCTGGCGGCCGGGGATCGAACTGGTGCTGCAGAGGCTGCAGGCAGCCTCGCAACCTAGTGCCCAACCACTGTGCCACCGGGGAGGCCCTGGAAATGACTTTTTAGGGAGATGCCCCACAGCCCTCTCTCTTTCCCAGGGGGCAGGTGGGTCTAATGGGGTTGGTATTCCAGAGGTCCCTCCCCACCCTGGCCTCTGAGGGGAGTGACCCCAGGGGCTGCCCCAGACATCTAGACCCAAAGTTTCACTCCAGAAGTTTAGACCTGCTGTTGGGGAGCTTGGGGGTGAAGATGGGGTTCAGCCATCAGAGCCACCCTGTCAGAGGGATCTTGTGTCTGAGCTTGGCTGCTGCCCCCCAGCTTCTGCAGTTGGAGACATCACGCACTGTCTGGGTGGAAACTCAATGATCTGGCGGGGTGGAGGGAAGGAGGAGGACGGGCTCTCCCCCCTCGGGCTCCCCTCCCCCTTGGCTTCCCCTCCCTCTGGGGAAGGAATATAAGCCCCACAGGGAAGGCAGGGAGCAGAGGAGGCTGAGCCCCACCTGCAGCAGTCCAGCCCTTGGGACTCCTGCCTTCCACCTCCTGCTCATCTCTGCTTCTGAAGCTATAGCTGTGAGTGGCAACTGGTGCTGGGGAGCTGGGCTATCGTGTGGGGAAACTGAGGCTGGGATGGTGGGAACTGGAGCTGAGTGGCAGGAAGCTGGATTAGAAGGGGGCCAGCAGAAGAGGGGAGAGAGGCCAGGGAACCCCCACTGCTCGATCAGTCTTCTTCCATCTGCCATTCTGGGGAGCAGCGGGTGGGGGGTGGGAGGCAGGCAGGGCCGATGCCACTGGGATAAAGGAGGAAACTCAGGCCAGTGATGGTGCCAGAGAGCACACAGCCCGCCAGTGGCTGAGCCTTGCTGAGGCACCAGCCCCAGACAGGCCGCTGGAGCCTGGGCTCAAGGGCAGCCAGAGACTCGCGCCGTCGGGGGCCAAGGCTCAGGATGACCCAGGCTCCGACGCCCCCTCTCCAGATGGTGGCGCTGCGCAGGCCGTGGCCCGTCTTGGTCACAGCGGTGCTGGCCCTGCTGGCCTGTCTGGGAGCGCTGGTCGACGCCTACCCCGCCAAACCCGAGGCCCCTGGCGAGGACGCCTCGCCCGAGGAGCTGAGCCGCTACTATGCCTCGCTGCGCCACTACCTCAACCTGGTCACTCGGCAGCGGTGAGCGCCCGCGGGGCTGCGGCCTGGGGCCGTCCGGGGGTCCCGCCCCCGCCCCCCGGGCCTGACCACGCCCTCCCCGCCCCTGCCAGGTACGGGAAACGCGACAGCGAAGCGCTCCTGGCCAGGCTGCTCCTCCCCGACGGCGACAGCGAGGATCGCCCCGTCAGGTCGCGGTAAAAGCGCCCCCTTGTCACAAGCCCTGTTCCCGGCAGCGCGCGAGGCTCCGCTGCCCCTTGGGGTCCCCAAGCTGGCGCCAGCACCTGGTGCTTTCCCGTCTCTCCTTTCCAGATCCCGGGGCCACTCAGTTGTGATTCCTTTACTCTCCCCTCAGGCCGGAGAGCGCCTACGCGTGGTGACCGCCAGGGCCCCGGAGACGGGCCGACGCCGACCTCACTGCGCGCTCCCGTCCCAGGACTCCCCGCCCTGCCCGCCGAGTCTCGGGAGCACCCCGAGGGCATGCCACGTCTCGGGCCGCCCGCTGGGCGAGAGGGCTGTGTTCGTCCTTCCTTGATCCCCAAATAAAAAGCAAATGTCATTGAAACAGAACGTGCGCCCCGGTGTTTCCTTGCCTTCTCCTTCGTGGTGGTGGCCGCGGAGAGCCTCAGGCAAAAGGCAGGAACTTGGGGGGGCGGGGAAGAGTCTCTCTGCTTGAGTTAAGAGAAGATGTGGACGCCCAACCCGGCCGTGGACAGCCTCAGATCAGGGGTTTCTCTAGGGGCTCAGTGGGCTGGGGAATGGTGAGCAGAACTGTTGTTGTGAAAAGGGGCCCGGAGGAGCAGGAAGAGTTGCAGGAGCATGGGGGCATGGAGCATGCTAGGCAGCCTAAGTAAGCAGATGGAGACAGAGGCGCCCCCCCCCCCCCCCCCCCCGCAATGGGGGCATTTCTAACCCTCCCTGCCCTGGGCAGGAAAGAAGCAAGGAGGCGGCAACCCTCTTCCCCATGAACCGCTGACTCCACACATAGCAGAACAGCAGAATAGTCTCCAACTGTGCCTCCCTGCTGACCAGGTCCTGGGGACACCTGAGGCCTGCCCCCCTCCCCTAGACTATCCACTGACTGGAGTCTCACTCAGTCCCGCACCTCCCTGTAGCTATGACCATGAGGACCAGCCCCTGCCTGTCCAGCCCGTTCCCTCTCTTCAGCCTGGAAAACATCTCCAGGGGAGTGGCCACCTCTCCCCAGAAGCCTGTCCTGATTTCTCGGGCTAGCAATAGTTTCTCTGGCACCCTTTCTGCTGTACCCATGTTACATGAGACCCGCTTTCCATCCTGCTTTGCTCCCTGTCTTCTCTCCTCCAACCCTGCTGCCACGAGTTTTGGTTCATTCTGTGGTTGTGGGAAGCTGTTAGTGTCCATTGTGCCCTGTTGGTGTGTCTGCCTGCAGTGGTGTGGTCAACGATGCCTGAGCACAGCCATTTCTGCTCAGTGGACATGTCTGCTTGACCATCAGTGACATGAGTTCACCTTACGCTCACTTGGGTGAACGTGCACACATGTTACAACCACTGCTGACTAGACTCGACCGCTGTTGCAGGGAGAGGGACGCACTGATGAGATATTAATGATAACAATAACAAAGCTTACTTTAAAAAACGCTTATGTGGGGCCTCCCCTGGTGGCGCAGCGGCTGAGCGCTGGGCTGCAAAGCTGCCCGCAATCTCTGCAGCGCCGGTTCAATACCCGGCCACCCGCGAGGATCCCACATGGCGCGCAGACCTTTCCTGCCATGCCCGCTGCTCCCCTCAGCAGTGTATTTTGGTCCATCTGCCTGCTCTGCTCCCCGCTCTGGCTCTGGTGAATTCTCTCACCCTCCCGCGCTTCTGACTGTACCCAGTGCTTGTATAAAAAAATAAATTAATTAAAAAAAAAAAAAACAAAACAAAAGGCCTCCCCTGGTGGCGCAGCGGTTGAGTGCTGGGTTGTGAAGCTGCCCGCAGCCTCTGCAGCGACGGTTCGATCCCCGGCCGCCTGGGCGAGGGTCCCACATGGTGTGCAGACCTCTCCTGCCGCCCGCTGCTCCCCTCAGCAGTGTATCTCGTCCTTCTGCCTGCTCTGCTCCCCGCTCTGGCTCTGGTGAATTCTCTCATCCTCCTGCGCTTCTGACTGTACCCAGTGCTTCTATAAATAAATAAATAAATAAATCTTTAAAAAAACAAAAAAACAAAAAAAAACGCTTATGTGGGCCTCCCTGGTGGTGCAAGGGGTAAAGCACAGAACTGTGAAGCTATCCAACAGCCTCTGTACCATGAGTTCGATCCCCAGCCATCCCGGGAGCAACCCCCACGGTGCAGCAGACCTCTCCTGTCTCACCCGCTGCTCCTCTCAGCAGTGTACTTTGGTCAGTCTCCCTGTTCTGCTCCCCACTCTGTGTCTGGTGAATCTCACCCCCCACATCTCTGGGCTGTACCCCAGCTCTTATATGCATAAATAAATAAATCTTTAAAAAAATACTTATGTGCTGGACCCTGAGCTATTAGTTTTATTCCCTTTATTTTGCAAGGCTATTGATTTGACTTGAGAGAGACACAATAAACAGTGACTTTAATTGGTTTATTTCTCTCGCATAAAATTCAAGTGACATTTGGGGAGATGGCAGTTTGTGCCATAAGAACATCCAAGAGCCCAAGCTCCTGTTCTATGACTGGCCCCTGGCCTTATGGCCATGACTGGAGACACTGGAGCCAGATTTGTGTTCAACCAGTGGGCGGGTGGCCTGGGCTGCATCTCGAAGGCCCACTCACGTTTGGCAGGCTCAGTGGCAGTGCGCTAGGAGCTCAGCTGAGCTGTGGACTCCACATCTACACATGGTCTCTCAGCAATGTCTTTGGGGTAGCTGGACTGACATGTTAGCTGGCTCCCCCTATACCCCTCATTGGATGCTACAAAAGAATCAGTAGGAAGTCGCATTACTATATTGGTTTGCTAGGACTGCCGTGACCAAGTTGCACAAACTGGGTGGTTTATTTTATTTATTTATTTATTTATTTATAATTTAAAAAGATTTATTTATTTATTTATTTATTTATTTATTTATACAAACACTGGGTACAGTCAGAAGCGCGGGAGGGTGAGAGAATTCACCAGAGCCAGAGCGGGGAGCAGAGCAGGCAGAAGGACCGAAGTACACTGCTGAGGGGAGCAGCGGGCGGCAGGAGAGGTCTGCGCGCCATGCGGGACCCTCCTCCGGTGGCCGGGGAGCAGCTGGGGATTGAACCAGCGCTGCAGAGGCTGCGGGCAGCTTCGCAACCCAGCGCTCAACCGCTGCGCCACCCGGGAGGCCCAAGCCTCAGAAATCTTAATGCAACTTCTACCATAGTTTACTGGTTAGAGCATTCTCCTCGGGTCTACCCACATTCGGAAGAGGAGGCCTAGACCCCATTTACAACTACGTGTGGGAGAGGGAGTTTTTTTATGCTCATCTTTGGTGCAGTCTATCGTAGGTGGACACCTGCACCCCTTAACACAGAAGGCACAGGTCACCAAGACTCTCATCTTGTTGGTTAAAACCTTGGTCACATGAGCCCAGGTAAGAACAATCTGAAGGTGTCTTTAGCCACGAGTCCCTCTCAAGCTCTTTTATGATGGAAAAAGGAGAGCGTGACTGCTGGGCAACTGGCATTCTTTGCTACAAACACAATCATTACACCTCACCTAGAAATCATTTGATCCTACCCTTCATTAACAGAAGGCAATCTCCAGGCCCAGGGAGGGGGAAACTGGCAGGAGGTCAATCCAAGTTTGTTTTTTTTTTTAAAAAGATTTATTTATTTATGCATACAAGAATGGGGGTACAGGCCAGAGGTGCGGGCGGTGAGAAGATCCACCAGAGATAGAGTGGGGAACAGAACAGGCAGACTGACCAAAGTTCACTGCTGAGGGGAGCAGCAGGCAAGGCAGGAGAGGTCTGCTGCACCATGTGGGTTGCTCCCTGGCCAGCTGGGGATCGAACTCGTGCTGCAGAGGCTGCAGTTAGCTTCATAGGTCGTGCCTTAACCCCTTATACCACCAGGGAGGCCCTCAATCCAAGTTTTGATTCCACTAATCATTAAATCTGAACTCTTCTGCCAGAAACACAACGTTCTCCAGAACATCCCTTTCATGTCCCATGATTCCTCAGTGTGTGCCCCGTCTCTGCTTGGCCCCAAGCCCCCTGCCCACCACTGTGACGGAGCATTCCCCCTTGACCCCTCAAGACTCAGTTCCTCCAGGAACCTCCCTGCCCTGGCCTGAATCGGAGCTCAGTGCAGGCCATGAGTCCCTCAAAGGCAAGGATGCCACAGCTGGTGCAGTGAGCAGTCTCAGTAAGGAAAGATCTGGATCTGATCCCATCTCTGTTATTAACTGACAGTGTGTCTTTGGCCAAGCCTTTCCATGTCACTGCTCTATTTCTTCACTAGTTCAGCAGGACACTTATGCCTCAAATAAAAATAACAGTTCCCTGCTGTAAGGCTCAGAGTGATCGTGTAAGATACTGCCAGAGATGGGCCTCCCCAGTGGCGCAGCGGTTGAGCGCTGGGTTGCGAAGCTGCCCGCAGCCTCTGCAGCGCTGGTTCGATCCCCGGCTGCTCCCAGGCCACTGGAGGAGGGTCCCGCATGGCGCGCAGACCTCTCCTGCCGCCCACTGCTCCCCTCAGCAGTGTATTGCGTCAGTCTGCCTGTTCTGCTCCCCGCTCTGGCTCTGGTGAATTCTTTCACCCTCCCGCGCTTCTGACTGTACCCAGTGCTTGTATAAATAAATAAATAAATCTTTTTTTTTTTTTTTTTTTTTTTTTTTTAAGATTTATTTATTTTATTTATACGAGCACTGGGTACAGTCAGAAACACGGGAGGGTGAGAGAATTCACCAGAGCTAGAGCGGGGAACAGAACAGGCAGACCAATGAAATGCACTGCTGAGGGGAGCTGCGAGGGGCAAGAGAGGTCTGTGCGCCATGTGGGACCCTCGCTGGCGGGAGTCGGGGATCGAACCGGCGCTGCAGAGGCTGCAGGCAGTTTCGCAGCCCGGTGCTCAACCGCTGCGCCACCAGCGGAGGCCCTAAATAAATAAATCTTAAAAAAAAAAAAAAAAAGATACTGCCAGAGGCCACGCAACTGGACAATGGCGGAGCCCTGAGCAGTGGGGCTGAGTCAACAGCCCAGGTCAGGCTGGCACAGCCTGGAGCAGGGGTAAGCTTAGAA